GGGTATCCGTGAGAGTATGAGATCCACGGGAATAACTCACTAACTTTTTTTTCAGGTTATAGTTCGGATACTGCCATATCGATTATAATTATATTAATATATAAATTTAAAAAAAAAACATAAGACATTTAAAAAAATAATGACATAATATAGGTATTAGGTGTGTATTATCAGAAAAGAAATAATTGTAATTTCAAAGTAACAAAAAACACCATATTAATAACATAATTTACCTATAGAAAAATTAATTTTTTACATAATATTATGTAATATTATTGTATAATAATACATGTTTTTTTTTTATTAGTTTTGTACCATCGTCCACTATGGACATCAGCATTTTTGAGAGGGGGCTTACTGTTTGTTTTTTGGTGTTAATTTACAGTTGGTCTGAGCAACACGTTCTTATATGTAGAGCGATGATTCGTCGCTAAAGCTGACCCGAATGGTCACCCATCCGGGAGCCAGTATTCCGGACGATGCTTGAGAGTTGAGAGAAGTACATAATATTATTAGCGATTGCGACCAACTACCACGCCACACTAGGCCGCATAATACATATTATGCGCTCCTTTATTTTGTTCTTCAAATTACCTAACGCAGACAAACCCATAGTAACAAACATTTAATTTAATTGCTGTAAGGAGTGGGGTTAGAAAAAAACGTCCTAGAGTAAAAATCAAACACTAGAATTTCTTTAAAACTATTTCACTGATAAAGATTTCAACAATCAACGAAATTATAAAATTAATAAAGTAGATTTTTAAATTGATAAGATTTAGCCTTACCTAAATACCTAATATATATTTACTGACATTAGTATGGAATAGTGAACAAATGATAAATATTTGCTATTACTTAACCATCTGTATGTGAACAGAGACTAGTACAAGTGCACATGTATTGCCTACTCATCAAATGTGCCAATCGTTCGCCAAACACTTGATTTGTAAATTAATCACCTTATCTACATAATGAGTATACAATTATTGACACCCTTGTCAAATATACAAATCCTGGGAACGAAAACCCGCGTATTTACTCTGTGTTATTAAACGTAAATCTGTACAGCTTTGTGTCACAAATTAAACTTCATAGCTATTTAAAACAAATTAATGGAGTAAATGTAAAAATTGGATGCTGTTAAATGGGCTTGGTCGATTGCATGTAATCCAATACATATATTCTATCATCAAAATTTGTTTATATAATCAATTCATATACTATTGATACAATTTTCACAATTTTCATTCGTTTTGAGATTTTTACGACCATTTTTAATTATATTTTTTTTTAGTTTTTTTTCTATAAATGTCAATAAAATTGTATTTTTTAAGTCAGAGAACGTGAAAATTTAATTCAAGGCTCTTGATATATTGCTACAATATCAGTTGAAAAATATTAAAATACATAAGTTCATTTTTGTTTCATAAACATTTAAAGTTCAAATTTCTCAACTTAAAAATTGAAAAATGATTTTTATAGTTATTGTAAGTTCAAATTGAGACAAAATTACTTATAGGTATTAACACAAAAAAAACAATTTTTTTGTCATTTTGTTGTAATCCAGCTCACAAAACAACCCAATTTTACATAAGTATATGTAATATTTTTCCAGCGTTACTGAAATTTAAGAATAATATCATAAATAATATGAATTCAAATTACCGGCTACCGTATTAATAATAAATAATATAACAATATAAAATATCCTAGACTGACATACCATCTCTACTCAGAATCGTGTTTTGTGTGATATGATATTAAATTATTGAATTTAAATTTAATGTCATCTATTACAGTGACCTTCTAAACACCTAATGTACAGCAAAGCGACATCCACTTACCCGATTTTTTTATTTTGTACATAATAATATACCGAGTATTACGCTTTATACAAAATATACCTTACGTCATTTATTCCCGCATTAGTGGCTCCGGGTAAAGCATTAAGTGTTTCCGCAATATTTGCTTCTCGCCGTTTTTTATTGATTTTTTGGGTAAATGTGGATTTTAAATTTCCAGGTGCAAATAGAGGGTCAAGTTTTAACAACTCGCCAGCTCTTGTCTCTAATTTAATCTACTTCATCAAATTTAACACATTTGATTATTTTAAATTCAAATTTTAATATATTTCAATTTCAACATAATTTCGCTATAATGTGTTCAATATTTTGTTTGGAACAATGTCATTAGCTAAGTCTGGTAATGGGCTCCAAATGGAAATTTATTGTAACATTTGGTTGAGTTATTTTTTGTTTTAATACATTAAAAAAATATATTTTTAAATAGTGTGCTTTAAATATCATAGTTATAGTATGAATATGATAGAGGTCAACTAGCGTGGATGGGACACACCTATAAGAAATAATAATATATATTTTTTTCACAAAATTGAACGATTTTTAGCTATAATTATTTTGGAAACTATTTTTATCTCCTTTATCTGTTCTCGTATTTTGAAATGACTCAATGACATTGTTGGGTTCAACGATAAGTTTAGTTCTTTCCTGATGTAGCTGTTTTTAATTGTAGTATTGTACTAAGTAGTGAGTTTGGTCTAACAAATGTCTTAACATAGTTAATAAATTTTAAATTGACATTTTGTAATTTAAGATTATAATACAATAATAATTTAAAGAGGATGCAAAATAAGAAAATAATAATAATAATGAATTCTTAAGAATACAATTGCACTGTTTAAACTATAGATATTTGAAATTACAAGGACATGGAACATGGTGGCGAATGCGACTAATTTTAGTCCAATGCTTTTGAAGAATAGCGTTTTGCAGTCGACTACGACATAGGTAATCAATCGAGTTTAATCGCACACGACATTTTGTCTATCGATCTCGAGAATAGGGCACCTGAACAATTTATAGATAAGAAATTATGAACATTTTTTATAACATGTAAATATGTAATTTAAATCCTAGTATGTGTATTTCTGTATCCTGTGTTATTTTATAAGATTAAACAATAAATACACATTTATTTATTTAGAATAAATTCTATTTATTATTTATGTATTTATTATTAGGTACTTATATACATCCTGAAAAACTCAAAATAATCAAAACCATTGTATAGTTGGGAAATGTACGCAGAAACTCGTATTAAAATGTTGTGAATACATTTCAAAGTCGATATTATTTCAAAAATGTTAACTGCAGCTTAAATTGTAATTCGATTCAATGAACATATTAATATATTATTATCAGTTTAAAATCTCATATTATACACTCGTGTTTCGCGGAACAGTCCAAAGATGTATCATCTATACACTGGCGGGCTTTTCATATTATGCAATTGGAAAGCATAAGCACACCGCCGCCCGCCGTCTATTTGCATTCATGTCAAGAATTTCATCCCCCATTACGTAGCCGTTTCACGGATGGTTATACAAAAGCGCGGGGGAGACGGTGAGTATGAGTGAGTGAGTATCGGTGGTGGTGATGAGCGGACAAATAGTGGAGCGGGGCTGAGACGGAGAGTGGGGATTGAAACAAAGATAGAATGAGAGGTGACATCCGCGGGGTGCTTTACGAGCGCGGACGGATAAGGGACGAACGCTGGGCACAAAAATTCCACGGCGTGACTAACGGCTCGGAAACAGCTGTCTACCCTTCCTCGTAGATTTTTGGCAACCCCTGACAATATTAGATACAGCTCGTTTTGCTCGTGACGGATGACCCCCGACATTCCTGGCCGACTGGAATTCACTAGTGTCGCCCACTTGCCCCTTCACGGTCCACGAACTTTTTTTCTTCTTCTCATCCTCCTCTCCATAAGCGTAGTGTACATTGTAAATGCGATATGCTTAGTTTTTCATAAAATATACAGACGCGCTTTAAAATATAAATTCATGTAAACATATAGGAGGAAAAATTGTCCTGATAAAAAGTCTGATAAAAATAATCAAGGAATGTGTATATTACAACTTATAAGTTAAAATATAAGTTAAAAAACTACATAATTGTATAACTTATAATATTAAGTTTTCCACTGCAGATTTCAAATGAGCAACCATATTTTGTGAAGTACAGAGAGCGGTTTTCCAATATATGGCATCTACTCATATTATGTAATATAAAATAATATTGAGGCTTTCTTTAGTAAATATGCGTATTCTACAAAAAAAAAAAATGGCTACCTATATCTTTGTACATTTTGTATATATTTTGATTTAAAAATAATAGTAGAAAACATTATTATCATTTTAAAATTTGTTTTTGTAGCTATACAATTTAAACATTTTTATTTATTATAAGGTAGATATAATAATTGATTACTTACTCCCATATGAGTAGATACAAATTTAGATACCTAAATAATTGGGTAGATCTTAGATATATTAATTATTAATAATATTGGAGCACAATAAATTAATAATACCTATTATAAAATATAAGTATAACTTACTGCATAATTAATTGCTAGTGAAATTACTGAGCTGAAAATAATCTTATATTAACTATACCTAATATTATTTTTTTTTGCTAATAACACAATAGTCAGTTTCATATAACAACTTGTGTAAGTACCTACTACCTTCATTGTATTTTATGTTTATTTTAAACAATTTCTGACACATTTGCCATCTGATTTAACTTTTGTTAGTTTTCGAAAAGACTTTGTGTTAGATAGACGTCTGTTGTTGCATTTTGAGTAAGTATAAGATGAGGTGAGTATGTATTATGATTCATAATAATATTTTTAATAATTTACTATCAAAATGTGAATAGTTAAATGTATTAATAGTTTGAATAATTAATTAGTTCAACCTACCTTAAATTAAATTTTATTTATAATACAAGTATACTTATGTGGTTATGTTGAAAAAGACTTGAGGCAATTAAACAATGTTTTTTATATTTCTACTACTTTCTTTTACGAAAGAGCTATCTTAATAGTATTTACTATTATAGGAACAATAAAATCAATATTCTAATGACTTTTTTCATATGAAATGTATATTGGTAAACAAATAAACTACATATTTCAATAAATTATTATGTATATTACATTAAACGGTTCTTCAACAAATAATTTAAAAATGTGACATTGTGATAAAATACATGTTTACAAGAAGAATGAAGATATATAAGAATTTACTGTGAAATAATAGCAAACAATAAATTATGTACTAAAATAAATACATTTCCGTTGTCAATATATTTTCGTAAGATCGGCGTTGAATAACTGCAGAATAACTCCCGATGGTCTTCTAAAAATATACATTTATGATTTACAATTTAAGATTATATAGGTAATACCATTGGTACCTTACCAATGGTTATACTTAGCTAATAAGTTAATAAGTGTTTAATCAACAAGAAATTAGTAAATATAATTTGGTACATAAAATTACAATAAAATAATTAATAATAGGAAAGGGCAAATAAGTACCAATATAAGTTAGCAAAAATAAATTATATAGCATTTTTTTTAAAAATTATAGATTCTGAAAATACTGTTATAATTCCACAATGATTGTATAGATCCACATCAGGTATCCATACATTATATAGTGAATGGCTTATAGCATTTAGATACGATTTAGATATTTATGTTGAATAACTTTGAATGATATAGTAAAATTATTAATAATTATCATATATCTGTATAATATGTTATAAACATTATGAAAATAATTCTATGTTTTTAATTGTTATACTTATATTTCATTTCATACTCACGGATTTAGTAGAATATTTATTCATCGACGAAGGAGAGTGATGTATGGATTGTAAGACACTGGGTAAGTGTAGGCGTACGATGGGTAGGTGTACACCGGTGCGTAAGTATGTGGTGTGTAGTAAACAATTTGAGAAGAAGCAACAGCCACCAAAGCCAAAGCGGCAACAACCAATAACTATAAAAAAAAATTAATTAATAGTATATATTATAGAATGTATAGCTTATTTTTATGACATAAGCAATCTGCTATTTTACTTTTATCTTTTACAAAAAAGAAAAAAAATGCAAAAGAATTTTTACATACCTAAAAGTAATAAAAACAAATAGTGTAGTTTATACACAAAAAAGAAGTATAGATAAAAATTATTTACTGTAGAACAATATACATATACAAAAATAAACTAAGTTATCTGTCGTATTAATCGTATATTGCACGCAATTTGAAAAGGGATCATTTATAAGTACGTATTGGACTAGTACTATACTGGTTACAACTACCTATACAATATTGTACTATTGTCTTTATTATTCTACAAAAAAAGATACTTACCAAAAACTTATACATGATGGTTTTTGGATGTGAATTTGAGGTAACTCAAAAAGTGAAATAAAGACTCGATGTGTATCGTTGTAACAACTGTAGATCACTGATGTTGTCTCTGAAGATCTTATTAGTATTTATACCGGTTCGGTATTTGAAAATCTGTATATCCCATAGTAGTGGGTACCTACATAATATGTAAATAATATGTTATGATTATTTATATTTTATTTTTGTGCTTGAAACAAACCGGTTCGGCCTACCAAAAATCGGATTGAATGAAAAAAATTATAAAATGTGACATTGAATAAAAACCGGCCTATTTGTTTGTACAGGTATATTATTTCTAGTATGACATTTTATTTTAGGTAATAAATTGAGTGGTACCGTGACGGACGACAAAAATTGAAACACGTTAATGGGCAATCGTCTATCAGTTGTGTAAAAAATAGACCCTTGACATTTAAAATGTGTAAAATGTCAAGATTATAATTTTTATTTCTAAACATTTTTAGATATATTCATTCGATTTGGGATATAAGATTATATGATACCTAAATGGCTAAATCAAACAAGGTCGGCTACAGTCTACACGACTATCATAAACATTAATTTAACGATTTGCCTAAAATGTAAGTATTTAATACACTGTATTAGTATTACCTACCCGTTAACAAAATATTCTGTTTTTACAACACTATCAAAGTCGTACTGGACTTACGTATGTACATTTTTACCAATTGTGGGCGAATTTGGCTATTTTTTTTACCATCTGCGTGCAATAGTATATCTCACCTAATAAATTTGTATTTCTAAATTTAATGTCAATTGACTGAATTTTAATTATCTAAATACATGATACAATAAACGGTTTGAAATACATATTGCATGCAATGGCAATACATTGCTGTATAGGCCCGTAAATAGGTGTTAAGGATAGAGGGGTAGGGGTTCACTTTGTTTCCAGTAATGATATTAGGACGCAAAATCAGTAAACAACGTTGATTATTTTCCCGGCTTTATTAAAAATGCGAGTAGAAAGGGGAGTTTTTGGATATGATTTTTTTTTTAGACTGTAATAACGAAGAAAAAAGTTTCATAACTAGTTATCAGATAATAAATTATAACAATACATTTAAATACTTAATTATTTTAATATAACTCTTATATATGTATATCTATACTCTATAGTACCTACATCAATATGGCTACCTTATTTTAAAAAACGCTTACATTTTTATTCAAATTTTTCAATACTTTAAAATAGAGCTATACATAAGTATAGATAGGTTTATTCTATAATTACTTACATACCTACTTATAGATAAAATATTGTTTTGAAGTCTGTTAAATTTTAAAATAACATAATATGTATAGCAAATTATATAATTTTACGGTTTTCATACTTTTTAATAGTTAGTGAAAATCCAAAAACGAACACACTGCTCATTAATATCTATAGTAATATTTAACATTTTTATTAGCATTTAAAAAATTATTGAGTAAATTTAATTTTACAATTTATTAAATTAGTTAGGTAAGTGAAACAATATTTAAATTTTTTTATTTTTTTTATTTTACACAATAATATATACAATCTGTACATTTATGCACAATTAGCATATTTGATAAAGGTTAAAATAATACATTAAATACGTGATAAGAAGCCACCCACTAGTGGCATTTGACTGGATGTTGTATGAATCTTTATATTACGAGTATATAAACTGATTTTTTATTTTTTATTTTTTATTTTTTATTTTTTCATTAGTTCCCTAACAAGTCACGGCACCAACTCCTTTTTAAACGATGCCTGGGGTTGCCAGGTAATGTTTGGATGGATAGGTTTTTAATGAGTGGATTTTGGTGTGTTTGTAGGCGGACATGAAATATTTTGTAGAAGCTTGTAGCTTCTTCTGTCACGGTTTTAATTGACAGGTCATTATGTATAGTGTAATTCGAAACAAAGGGTGGAGCATTAGTAATTTTCCTAAGAGCAATATTCTGAAATTGTTGAATTTTGATTGGACACTTTTGCTGTGCCCCATAGTTAGAGACCATATTTCCATACAGGTTTAAATAATGTTTTATACATATTTAAATTTAAATTTATATCCAAATTAAGTTATTTTAGAACAAATTATAATAGATAAGTAGCATATTTTATGACATATGTCAATTATTAGTGTAGAATAAATATTTGTATAAATACGAAAGTATTACCTATTATTTAGGTACTTTTAAATATATCTTAAGGCTAATTATAATTTAAATATGAAATATTTAAACGTTTCATTGAGATAAAACATCGCTCGTTTGATCTAGATGACTGTAATGCAGTTAATTAGTTTAATGTTTAAATGTATATTAATGTATGTAAGTATAATAGTAGTTGACGGTGAAGATTTTGAAAAATATTAAAAACAAAATATCGATTATATTGATATAAAGAAAGTTCAGTTTATAAATAACTATTCCACTAAATTTGAAAAAAATATAGTGTTCTTATAGGTAATGAAAACACTGTATACTAATTGAGTCGTAGGTATAAACGAACAATATTTTATTGAGTTCAACGATTATTTTGAGTAAAAAATAAAATCATTAATAAAACATTTTTATGACTTTAATAACATAATTTGAAAATACACAATTTATACCGATTATTATTGTCATATTATAAAATACTTCGAAAATAACATTAAACAAAACGCATATTTAACCAAGTAGAATTTTAAGCTACAGATTGTCCTAATTCCCAAATCTGTTAAAAATCGAAAGGAAGATTATATTTTAAGTTTGACGGGACTTATTAGTTAATACTAAAACATAAACTCAATTAGTATTACATTCAAATTTCCAAGTGACTCAGTTCGTTCTAAAAAATGCTATGATGATTCAGTTCGAATGCAGCTATAAAAATTAAAAACATATACGTTTTTAACAACGTTTTGACTATTTGTTGAGAGAATCGACCTCAGTTTGAAATATTGTTTTTTAGTTCTAATGATTACACATTTATTTCAAATATCACAACAATATAATATTATAGGTAGATACCTTGACTGAAGTCGGTATTGTAATACTTGTCTCTATATCAAGGTCTGTAGCTGAACGATGAGATTTTACGAGTTTTGAGTGACCAATATTAACATAATAATGTAGGTAACTTGAATCGCGGGAAGAAAGCCCACTCGAAAATAGGCCAGAAAAAAATTCAATATAAATGTGAACACACGTATACTCTACTCCTAATTAGTAATTATCATTTGGCGTGTACCGATAATAAAATATAATAAACTATAATTTAAAAAATGTCATAAATTATCTTGTGTAATTTTTGTATAAATGTAGTATGTATATACCTAGACGTTATACTTATACAGTATAACTCTGATGTTTTTTTACTTATAACTTATAACACTGCATATATTATGTATAGATGAGTTCATATTTATTTTGATATTACAAGTTGTTTTTTATATGTATAATGTATATAATCAATAGTAAAGCATAAGCCATATTCAGACATAAATTCATTTATATTTAAAATTTTTTATTAAATAAATAGGTAAAAGAAAAGGTTTCTTATTAATTGAGTATCCGCATATAAAATTGCTTATATTGGCTTTATAGCCAATAATTAATGAATTATAAATTATTAATTAGAAGTAGAGTATAGGTACATGTGTTCACAGTTATATTTAATTTTTTTTCTGGGCTTTTTTTCCGTAGACTTTTTTTTCCGCCGACTATGTACCTTGTAGCCTCGTAATTCGTAAATCGAAATACCTAGATACTAAAAATAGTAATATCCGAATATCCTATTTTATATGATATTTTAAAGTGAAACGCCTTAATCTTATTCATTTATTTGTCATTGATATTTCACATCGATAAACTATGAAAAGAAACAACTATAATAATAGGTCCACCATTACTAGGTATTATGACTATTATAACTAGGTGTTTTATTTTATTATTACTATTTACTTATTTTAATAACTCGAGCATTGGAAAACTATAAGGTCTGATCATGCTATAAATATAATAATACATATTAAATCTATCTATATATATATATATGTATTATTATATTTATAGCGTGATCAGACCATATACCTTATACCATATAATGGTATATATATATATTATACACCATAATATTAATATAAGATAATATACTATATTATTTCATTTGCCAAATTGATTGAAGTTTTCAGTAAATTTAAAGAAATCTTATTAAATCTTGATCTTGGAAGGGGGCTTGTGTAATTGTGTTGCACGCATTTTTCTTCTGTCGTGTTACCAGTATTGCCTCTACGACTCTACCCTACCTCTACTCTTTAAAACGTAACTTATTGTACTGTCCCTAAAGCAATCTGTGTTTATGTGTACGTGAGTGTAGTATATGTTTATGTTTGTATATAAGGAACAGCAGTAATTTTTCTTCCGGATTTTTCACTTACATATACAATCAGTTTGCCTGCTGCCCTTTTTTCCACTAAGTCGTTGCGTGATTAATGATGGAATTTAATTAAAACTGCCCCAAGACACCTTGAAAAGTTATCGAAGAAACGACATAGGTACTAAAAATGCAATAACAACTAATAAAAAATAGAAAATGTCAGTTTGTTGTTGGAGGATACTGGAGAGAATAATTTTACCAATAAGACATGTTAAGAGTACACATTTTAAACACATTACTGGTCAGCGAAAAAAATCTAAAGTAAAAAAGTTATATCATAATAATATTTTAAATAATTTATTAAAAAAAAAATTCAAAAACTTTAATCACATATGGGACATGTCATGTAAAAACATTGAATTAATTATTTTTACAATTATTCAAAAACAATACGCCTATGCATACATGATAATAATTTCTATCTAAGTGTAAAGTGTGATATTGCAAATATTAGGTAACTTAACCTAACCTGGTACCTACCAGACTATTGGTTAATTTTGTCAGGTAAATCATTTAATTAAAATTATTTTTTTTAAACTAATTGGCACATTAATTGTGCATCGTATTATTCCTATTACCTAATTATATCTATCGAACTTTTTTAGCATAGACTTTTTAGCCTTTGGACTTTTTGGTAGCTTACTCGTGTTATTTTACGCTATGACGTAAATAGCGATTTAAAAAATATGGTTTGGGGAGAGGTAAAAAAAATTACTTATTAAATGTTGACATATTATGATACAGATCCGTAGAACAATTGATTTAGTAGTATTTATAGATTCCATCAATTCCATACATGTAGCACATATATATAATATAGGTACTTAATAGTAAGTTTATTTTGTCCTCTAAAATGCGGAATCGAACCAGCAACTGTCGTCGGACTATTTCAACCAAGCGTGAAGGTCATGCCCTTTTTTTATACCCTCCGTAACGAAGTTTCACTTCAACTTTTTTTTCCTAAAATTATTGCATAGAAGGACATATTTTATTTCACCTATCTCTTGTTGTATGATTAATAATATTTTATCGCATTTTCTGGGTTACAAAAATATTCCAATAATATTATTTCAAAAAATTATGATTACAGAGTTATCATAAAGTTATTTTTCAAACAAGTTTAGAACGTTTTTGTATGAAATCTATTACACTCATGTAGGTAATTAATATTATTTAACAATATTATGGCCATATGGGTACCTACGATTTGTATCTAAGCTATAAAATGAATTTCAAGACTTGTGTAAGATTGTAAGAATAAACAATAATTTGGTTATAGTTTCGATTTTGGTGAATAAATTAGTTTCCCCTTTCCTAGTTTTTTTATACAGTTACTGCATACTGGTTCACACAAATTATTAATATGTTAATAGTTATTTTTTTTTTATAAATTTATTAAGGCATCGACATCAAAGGTTTTTAACCTGCATTAATTTAATATAAAAAAGTGAACATTATAATATTATTAGTATTATTACAAGTATTTACATGTGTTTACAATTTATGACTTAAGTTTATACCTACTATGGAAGAATACATTGATTGCGTCCGTATTGTCTTCATTGAGTGCTTGATGGAGTGTGGTGGGGTTTTTGAGGATCTTGCGGGCTTCCAAGTATTTGGTGCAATTTATGATGATATGTTCTAATGTTAATAGTTATTTTATTTAAATATAATTCAATATATTTAATATATAACTATGAATCATTTTCCCAACTATTTTATTTTTTATTAGATAATTTCTATTTTTTACACAAAAATTATTTTTTTACAGCATATCGTGTATTTCAACTACCTAATTTTGCTACAGTAAAATAATTAATGCAAAAATGTAAGTCACTGTCTAAAAATATTTTATTGGCTTGTTAATTATTACAGCTCTCGGTAATATAAGGTTAAATGTTATTTAACGCGTGAGTGTCGACACTTTCATAAGAAAAATCATATATTTAAATTATTTCTGGACACCTTGGATATAGTTTAATCTAAACCATTTTCCATGAAAATTACACAAGATACTGTAGATAACTACAATAACGTTGTCATCATAAGTCCTAACATTCAAAACAACGACTACATACTGGGATTAAGCCAGTACTTAATGAACTGCTTATAAATAGGTATGTATATTATATATAATATATTATATTAGTATGTACAATGTTTTTAAGTACATTTCACTATAAACAGGCAACAGCCAACAGCGCATTATTAAACATATACATCATATGCATGAAAAAATATGATCATAAAAGCTACAATGATGCAAGGTGACATCAGCACATTGCTACAGCTATGTCATGCGAAATAAATTGCTTACAAGTTACAACACACTTGGACTTCAATTTTAAAAAAGTCTATATAATCTCCATAAATTTAATTAAATTGTGACAAATAAGTGCTCAATAAAGGTGCATTGTATATGTTAAAATTGAAAACGCTCTTTATCTCCCCAGTTTTTAACAACGTAATATTATATAATATATTATTTTAAATATGACGGTATACTGACTATAACAAATATAAACTGACTTCTGTATAACATAATTAAGATTCCACTCTCTGAATTCGATCTTTACAGCAACGCATGAAAATATTGTTTGTAAAATACGCTTTGTGTGTAATCACATTTGAGTGAGTCTTATAAACAGATGGGTATGTCCATGTTAAATTTGAATGCATTCAAGAAATTAGAAATGAGTCGAATTGTTCAAAGTTCGAAAAATCGAACCAAACTTCGACGTTTGAAAGTAAAACCGATTAGTACTCGAACAAACAATTCGAACATGTCAAACGTTTAGAAACACAAAATGTTCCCGGCGTTTATTTTAAAAAATTGTTTTGTATATTGTCTATTTTATCGATGAAAAATACATCTGTATTTTTATTACTATTTTATACTACTTAGTTAATTACTCTGACATATAACAAAAAACATTTTATACGGCATTTAATTCAAAAATTCGGTTTGGGTTCAATTCAGTATTTAACGAAATGTTTGGTATACGAGTTCGGTTCGAGATCAACATCACACATGTTGTTATTTGTTTGGTTCGTGTTCGGCTGGATATTCCATTAAAAGTTCGGTTCGAGACCATATTATTGAGTTATACCCACCTCTAATAATATAAACCTATTTAGTAACTAATATGTGATTGACATTTTTAAGTGAAGCATCTTTACCAGTAAGAAATAATTTCAATAATTTATTTTTGTTATTAATATTTTAAACTTGCACATATAAATATTTTCATATTTTCATAGTTACACTCTTACACAAATTACACTGGTAATGCCGTAATATCGTTTTATATTGTCAATAAATGTGCATTGTTCTATTAATAAGAACGGATATTATTCTTCAAGTTAATATGATCTTATATCTTTAAATTAAAATGTATTGTATAAATATATTTTTTTAGTATTTGGTAATAGCATTGTTTTTATAATATATTAATATCTAATAGGTATTTAACAGGATAATAAATTAGAAAATTTGGGTGTTTATTGGTGTCTGTGTTTCTTTCTATAATCTTAATTTCTACAATAATATTTTAGCATCCGCCACCCAAACATTATACGTATACTTAAGACAGTGTTTATAGTCCTCACCCGTTTCTGGTTTCATCGTTATAATTTGTTTATATTAAACATTAATAATTATTGTACCTAATGCCTGTAACATAATGTATAGTCGCATGAATAACAAAAATACAAAATCTAATCTATTCTAACTCAAAACATTTGATATAAAGGCCGATGTTGGACAAACCACGGACTAAGAATCTTAGTTCGCGGGACAAACTTACGTTTATCACAACGTTCCAAGTGTGTAGCCTTGGAGGAAAATAACATAAATAACTACTCATTTCTATTTTAGAGACCCCATCGTACATAATATAATTGTACACGAAACGTCAACGCAGCAGCTGCTGGAAGCCTGGAAAATATTTTGGACGACCCTGCGGCTTGTATGGCTGCATCTATGATTCATGAATACTGGTCGCGATTCGAGTTGGTACTTCGTGGTTTGTTTATAATATTATCGATTTACATGGACTGTAATTGACGCAATTTAATCATTAAATTTTAATGTGAATGTCATTGTCCATAGTAAATTACTGTTGTATGTTATTTAACTGCTACGGGTGACAGGTCTGATTTTCAACTCTTAAACGTGAATTCGTCGAGTTTGTAACAATTTTTTATCGTTCCGATTCACAACACTTCAATTGCGTGGACGTCCAGTAGGTCCGAACGAAATACAATCATGTTTACGAAAATAATGTCAAATAAACGCATCCCGTTGACACCAACGTCTAAGAAAATGATGCCGAGAATGTACAAGACTACTGTCGCTCTGAAAACATGGTAATGTATTTGATTCGAATGTAACAAATTACCGTAATCCGCAATAACCGATAGCAATAACAACAAATCAAATAGTAATAAATATTTTTTTGTTTATAAAACAAATCACAATCGACACAATCACTAAATCATGTAAAACGCGTACTTACTTTAGGTACTTATTACGAAAAAAATGTAAAACATATAGTACCTAATAAATATTATATTTCTGTTAATCAAGTTTTTTTTATTTTACAAAGGTATACAAATAAAACCAACTATTAACTATATACATAATATTTAATTATGTAGATACTTTTGTTATTAATCTGCTGTTGGTACTTTGAACCTATACCTAATAATACTTAACAGTGTTGTTCGTAGAAACTTAATTTTGTCCACAAAATAATCATGAGAAGTTCTAAAGATTACGTAACACAAAAATAAGGTAAAGCGAGGTATGGGGACAGCCTCATCCCCATCCGTGAACAAACCCCTGATGAGGACTGAGAAAGTTGGTAATATTTTAAGTACAAGTGTAGGTTTTGCCGTTTTGTTTACAAACAATTATGAAAACAATATCGTCACATGCTTATCAAGCAACCTGCATGTGTCAGAGATCGATAACAGCTGCTGTGACGCTGGGTTACAGGTACAAGTTACCACCGCAGCGTCGAGTCACACGCGTGAACGATCCAGAACGTGTATTTTTAGTTATTTAACTAAAAGTATGTACTTTTTCTCCATCCTACCGATCGATCTAGTAATGCGATAATACATTTGAAAACTTATTTGAATTCGTCATAATGTCCGCTTGAGATCGGTCAGTTTACATTTTAAGATTTATGATTTCAATTCCGAAAAATCAATATTTTAAAATTTTAAAATATTCAAACCTAATTTACAGAAGTTGAGGGTGAAATTGGAAAAAATGAACTAACCGATCTCAAGTAGTCTTAAAAAAATATAAAATTTAAATTAGTTCTCATAAGTGTTATCGCATTACTAGGCCGATCGGTATGATGGACAAAAGACTGTATGTTTCGGTTTAAAATTTAAATAATAATTAAACTTTAAATAACTGAATTCTGATGGCCAAAAATCCCCTTAATGTTTATTAAATGTATAGTAGTGCATTGTACTACATTGTACTACATTGTTCATACTTCTATCACATATTAGTATTATAATACCTATAATCTGTGATTCTAATATTCTATGCTCACACTCGCTGAAATGAGACGTTACCCGTACCACACCATTAGTGAAAACCGGTTTCGCTATCGCAACTAAGTTCTACCCGTTTACTGTTACGAAAACAAGAGTATTGGTTACAAAATAAATTTAATTTGCAAGATTTTCAAGAAGAAAAATTCGATACGTATCGATACGTACCACCTCGTATCGAGGTCCGAGTCCGATACGGGTCGGTACTCGGTACGTATCGCTTGTATACTGCACGTGTCACTTCTTGAACGCTCAAAATTGCCTCGATACGTATCGATACACTCCAAATTCTTCCTTGAAAATCTTGATGTATTAATATTTTCCAATAATCCTGTAATCCGATTTTATAATATTCGTACATTTCCTAGTGCTGATAAACATCCGTATTTTACACAAATGTAATCATTAGATATTAGAATCATGAATGTTTTGTTCACCTCAAAATTAGTATAAATCTGTTGAAAAAAATGCTGATCAATAATTACTGTGGACTTACACTCAATTTATTTTTTAACTTATGAGGAGTGTTGTATTACATTTTTAAGTTTTTCGACAAAGCAAATAATTGTTTGTTGACAATAGTTTAAAAAAAAATTAGAAAACTGGAAATTTTCTTATGCCTATAAATAACTTAAAAAGAATTGCATTTTTTGGACAATTTTTAATCTTAAAAATTTCAAAAAACTGTTTAAACTACTAAAATATAGTTGTATGTTTGAGACTCCTCATAAAAAAATGGTATTTTACAACTGTTTCAAACATGTTTAAAAAATGATTTAGACGAGTTTAATGCAAAATATGAAATTTATTATGTACACCTACTATCAACAAATATTAGTGTAGGTACTAGGTACCTACACTTACCAAAAAAAAATATTTATTTATTTATATATTATAATATAATAATACATTGGGTATCTATTAAATAATAAAACATTAAAATATAATATTTTATTAGTAAGTATAAGAAGTAATAAGTTTGTTATATTAAAAAAAAAGTTTGTAAATTAAAATTAAAAGTATTAGTGTGAACTTATTAGTTAGGTATCACTTATTGACTATTGTACACACTATCATTTATAATTAAGTATGGAACAGTATAGTAGTGTACCTATAGTACTGTAGGTATATCAATAATTATCACTTCACTTTATACAACATAGAAAATGAATATTAAATTAAAGTTGTAGTTCAATAAACCAAAAATTGTTGGTCGAACTGACCAATATTTTAATGCAAAGCAAAAAATATTAAAAGTTGCACTACCTATTGGCTTTCTAGAATCTACTTGTATCGCTTTGGTTTCTAGATGATAATTATAAATTAATTAATAGGCTTTTCTTTTTCTTATAATTCTAAACTTTTAGTGTTGAATTTATTCTTTGTTAACTTACTGAAGTAATTGTTTCCATTAACTTGCCCACATTTGATTATGATTAGGTCTAGAAATGTAGAGAATAGATTAGGTTAAGTTCTTGTCTACAAAAATTACTACTCTTAACAGATTTATCTGAATACTGTTTTAAAATTAAAATTAAGTCCATTGTAATCGTAATGAAGTTGTATGTAATAACTAGATTCTATTTTAATTAGCACTTATAACTTAAGTTTAAATTAAATAAATATACCTTTTATTATATCATTGTACATTTAATGTAATTAATTTATGTTAGTATCCAATTACCTCTATGATTTTTTTTTTTTAATTGCTTTCATAAATTATAAATGGTTTGCATATATATTATGGTAACTAAACAATTTTAAATCTTGTTTCAATTCAGTAGGATTAAAAATATAAATTTAAAAGTAAGGAAAATCTTCCCTGTCCAGGAAGTGGATATTGTGTTCAATTTGTGATTGATGTAGACATTGCTTGAAATATTAAAAAAATATATTATTTAGAGTAGTGCAAAGTTGCTAATTTGAATTAATAATATTATAATTATAAATTTTATAAATTTGTTTATTAAACTTTGGAAATGAATTGATTATTACAATAAAATTAATAAATAGTAGTTGCTACTGTACGCTAGGTACCATAAAGTTATACACACATTTTTCTCTTTTGAACAACTGTATTTTTAATAAATTATTTATATTAAACGTTTGAAACAAAACAATGTTTGATTTATTTAGATGTTTTAAACATGTTTAAACATCTCAACCCTGCAGTAAATACAACCATAGTAAGATTTCATTAGTAATTTAAACTTTTTTCTATGTCTATGGAGCCAACAATTATTTAATTAGAACCCCATATTTATATTTTATAGGTTATAATTTATAATTTATATTTAAGCTATAGTCTTGAGTCATTTGCGATACTAAAATTTTTCACATCAGGCTAAATGCTTTGAGCTCTTAAAATATAATATACATTTTTTTTTAGGGGTCTGTCCGGATTGTCTTTTGGTGTAACAAGTTTTGTACTGTTATGTTATATGACGGAGTGGCGCACTGTGTTAAAGTATTGTCCTTACTACAACAGTAAGTATAACCAATTGGATATTGAAGATGAATTGGATAAAATCCAAGCAACAGCGGATACCAAAGAACGCACAGAAAATTCTTTAAGAGATTTTCAGCATGAGAGAGATGTAAAATTTGAAAGTGAAAAAGAAAAATAATTCTTTAAATATGAAAATCTTACAATACATTCAAGGAAAAATAAAAATGTGAATGAACTATGTACCTTGATATTTTTCAACAATTAATATTTCAGGAATTTGTGTAATTTAATATTGAATTGAATTAATAATAAATATTTTGATATTTTTTGTATTTAAGTATTTATACAGGTGGTACAATTTTGTTAACATTAACATTTATCATTCAAATATAATTTTAAGATCACCCATAAATACTTTTATTTCTTGTTATTAAAAATAAAATAAAAAGTACTTAGAAAACTAGTTGTGTTTTAAGTCATTTTTATATCATATAATATTCTGAATACCAATTCCTCATAATTTTCTCATAGATAATTTATTGAAAATACTAATTCACTAATTGTAGATTAAATCAGATTATGTATAATATTATTAAAATAATATATATCTAAAATATTTTACATCATAAATGCATATTCTAGTAAATATTTTTATAGATTTTCCAAGAACTAAAAAGGGTTTGTACTAATAACATCAAGGTGTTTATTGTGCAGCTGGGTACAAATTAGTTACTTTTATAACTTAAACTAGGTATATTAAAAAAAATGTAAGTATTTTAAACTATAGGTGATTTTTAACAGTAATCACTCATTATATATAAAAGTATTAACTTTTTAAAATATAATATTTTTACATAAACTTGGATTTATTACAAAACAGTACCTACTTTTTACTACTTTAAATTGTTGTCATTTTTTAAGCTTATACTTTTGTAAATGACAACATATATTTTATACTCCAAAGCTCCATATTTTTCAAAGAATTTGTATGTATGAAAACCGAATGTCGTAAGAATAGTTTTTTAGCTATAGCCTATTGCCTATAGGTGTACACAGGGACAGATCCAGGGGGAGCCTAGCCCCCCCCCCCTCCCCAGACATTATTTCCCACATTTTTTTAATAATTCTACAGATCCTGATATTACTATATTTCAAATTACTTGTATGTCTGATAATATAATATATTATTATACATATAATTCTGGGGTGCACAAACTAAGATGTACTATCATAGTCCATGTTTATGGTGGACAGTGATTCCAATTCTGTAATTTTACGTTAACAAAAAATTGTGCCTCCTCCCCCAGATCTTTGCTCTGGATCCTTGCCTGAGTGTACAGTATATCAAAGCATTTAATATACACATTAGTAGAATAATAAGCCAACATTTTACGGAGTAAGTACCACTGTGCAAATTCATAGTATGCAATAATTTCACATTTAAATAACATGGTTGCTTTGGGGCTTAATTTTATAACTTGTACAATTTAATATACCCTTTTAATTCTTTAATGCAAGTTTACAATTTTCTAGACTGTTTTTAGGATAACTATTGTATTTATTATTCTGATTATACCTACCTATATGGCCATGGAATTATGGCTATAAAGTTTATTAAATACAATTATTTTTCAACATATAGTAATAGCATTGTACCTATAGGTATTGTACCTACCTACAATATATTTACTTAACTAAATAAAACATTTAATAAAAATAGAATATACATTGTATATATTATATTGAATAGATAAATTTAATAAAAGTCATCAGTCGGATTGCCATATATGTGTATTAAATAAAATATTAAAATGTACATATTGGGTAATTTATTTCCAGTGCAATACTGTTAGTTTAATGACCTTAGTTTGTAATTTGAAACATATAGGTAATTTAAATCTGCAATAAGAGCAATTATTAGTCTATATTGCTTATAATAATGTATGCAATGTAGAGTAGGTAGGTCTAACCTTATATCTTAACATATTACCTAGTGCTGTAAAATAACTCAATACAAAAAGTATGCGGTTCAATAATCAATCTGTAATTCTATAAGAATTGCAAAAAGAAAAGTTATTTTATTTTTGTTGCAAAATATAGTAGGTAGGTACTTTATATAGATAGGTACTCAACTTACACTTATATAATGTCTAATGTTGATTGAAAAATGATAAATTATACCCAATAGATATAAGTACTTAGTAGATACATATATTTTGGTACCTACATAGACACAAGCTATTCTAAACCATTAAGCACACTTAGGACCATATAATAAAATTAAAATAATTGTTTTTAAATA